AGCAGGGGAAGATCAGGGGGTCTCTCTTCTTTCTCCTTCTCGCTCTGTTGGCTTCCTTCGGAGCCTGGGTGGGAAGGAGAAACACATGAAGGCCAGATACTCCAAAGCCTTCCTGGTGGCCCAAGTGGTCGCCCCTGACTGTCAGGGCAGAACGGGGGATCCCCAAGCACAGGGTCTCGTGTCCAACAGACACAAAAGACCTTCACCGAGTGCCAATCAGACGGCAGTTTCTCGAGGGCTTTTTGGAGCAGAGGTTTTTCTCCAACCAGACTTGGAGGCCAAGTTTTCTTCAAAGGGTTGGATGCACAGAGGTGTGCAGGCATACTTTTAAGTGGTAGGCCCTCCCAAAAGGAGATAGGTCAGCGCAAGAGCCCTGCACCCACTGCTAGTCAAGCCACTGCCACATTAGCCTGGGAATGGGTTGCTCCATACAGGTTCCAAGGCCAGGTCTTCCCATCTCCCTGGGACAAGAGCATGGTACTGACCAATGGACTGCGTATCTTGAGAAGCAGGGGATGGCTGGTCCACATCCATGGGAGACTCATCCCTCCGGGAAGCAACCTCAGACTGGCTGGACTCCGACTGGACAAAATGGGAGACATAGCTAGTCACCAGGAAGTCTGGGTCCCTGCTTCCTCAAGCAGGGGCCCTTCCCACAGGTAACAGAGAGGATAGTGACCCTTCATTGCCCTTCTGTCAGCATTCAGGACCTGATACAACAGGATCAGAAGAGAAGCTAAAGCTGCCTCAGAAGGCAAGCAGAGGTGCCTGGAGCCAAGCTGTCTGGTGGTCCTTCCTGCACTTTGCTCCATTCTTCCCCAGTACTGTTGCCCTTTCCTCCCCAGCTTGCTCTTCCTAGGGAAAGGCTTGGTCTACACTGTGGTACAAGGCCTTCTGAGACACAGGCTTCAGAGTTCTCTTCTCTTCTTTCTGGGTCAAGGGGGCAGGGCCACTCAGGCATTGATATTGCAAGCCACCACGTCACCCTCCTGAGCAGGTCCCCCAATCATTTCGGCGCTCTTGAGGACCCAGGGCTGCGGCAGGGTGTGTGTTCAAGTGTGCAGGGCCCCAAGGGGTGCTGTTCAGGGTGACCAAGGTGGCTTGGCTACCTCCCCACTCCTACTCAGAACCCAGAAAAGAGATCTGAGGAAGGTTCAATTAGGCAACTAAGAGGGTCAGGGCTGAGCCCACACAAAGGAAAGAGAAAAACCGAGAAATGAAACTTAACTTCTGCTCCCTAGAAGCATCTGGACATTAAGCTCATGGACAAGCACAGAGTGGGGAGTGTGGTGGGGGTGGGGAAGAAGAACAACACGTGGATGAAGAAAGAAAAAAGAAAATGAACAAATGAGAGGCCCCAGGCATCATGCTAACCGTTGCTGCTTGCTGCTGTCTCCGCGCCCTTTGAGCCTCACATACCATTTGTATAATGGCATCAGCCTCAGCCTCCAGCTGCCGAACAGCTGCCTGGATGCTGCTAGCCAAGCCCAGGCTGGAGGTGCCTGGGAATGGGGAGCAGATAGAAGGCCCTTCAGGCTGCAGAAAGAGGGCAGAAGCAACCCCGGGGAAGCCGCAGCGGCCAGTGACCAAGGGGTGTTCCAAGGGCACAGCCGCAGGGCACTGAGCAAAGCCAGAAAGAGTGAGTCCTCACCCCCTCCCCCTACAGCCCCTTGGATGAGGAAATGGAATAGAGACCAACCACTGGCTGGCATCCTGTGCCTCAGCTCCAGACCTGGACAAGGTGGGCCCCTGGCTAAGTGGCCTACCTAGCCTGCCTGTCTGCTTGGCCTTCTTGTTAGCTCTGCGTGTGTCATCTCGGAGCTGAATGATGACCTGCAGCACACACAGGAAGAACTTCTGTGTGGACGTTTTTGACGTCAGCATGGACATGGACGGCAGTTGGAGCTCTCGACCGCCCAGTGGGCGCTTCTGAGATGCCACGATCACCACATTCTCAGCTGTGTCAAACCTAGGGGGCCGGGCAGAGGGGTGTTTTTGTTGTGGTTGTGGCTATGTGAGTGTGAGAGAGAGAAAAGAGAGTGAAGGAGACCCGGGGTGATGTGGGTGGGGGTGCTGTGTGTGTGTGTGTGCACCCTAATTGCTCACGCGCAGAGAAAGACACATACACAGAGTGAAGGGGGGAAGAGAGAGAAAGGGAGGGAAAGAAGAGAGAGACAGAGAGGAAGGAAGAGACAGAGACAGAGAGGAAGAAAGAGAGAGAGAGATGAGAGAGAAGAGGAAGGGAGGATGGGATGAGGGTGGGGGAGGAAGAGGAGATGAGAGTAGGAAACACATGCCCAGGGAAGGAAAAGGGTGCTGCCAGTAGGCTAGGCCTTGGCCACCAACACTGTGGAGCCTAGGTGTTGCCCAGAAGACCAGCGGCCCACCTGCTCTGCATCTTTCCTTTCAGTCGGGTAGCCTGGGGTTGCTCTTCGGGCAGCCCATCTGGAGACAGGATCTCACACTGGGCTTGCCGCTGCTGCTCCAAATTGTATTCTCGAAGCTCGGCTAGGAGGGTCCCTGAGGTGAGCAGAAGCAGCAAAGGATAGTCAGAGCCAGCTCTGGGGAGTGAGGGGGGAGAATTTGCCTGGCAGTCCTGCTGATGCCAAGACAGTGGGGGTGCAGCTGCATCCTGTGCTCCTTCACAGACTTCCTCAGGTTCCCACACCTGTCGTCCAATCCCCAGAGAAGACAAAAGGGGCCCAGTGGGCCTTGAAGGTGGCTTCTTTTTCTTACTGGGATCCCTAGCAGGAGCCAGGGAGGAAGTAAGGAGACTGCAGAACCAAAACCCCTCCCCCCCCCAATATGGTTCTGTTTCCTCAACCCCACAGTGAGGGAGTTGGGCCAAATGGTCTCCAAGGGCCCCATTCAGGGCCTGTTGGAGGGCGTTTTCCTACAACTCTCTAGGAGGAATGGAGCTGGGAGAAAGCAGTGCTTTTCACAAGGCCCAGGGAGACAACTGAATGCCCTCACTCCACAAACTTTAGTTTTAGGCAAGATACTGTCTGAGAACCCAGGGTGACACCTTTGAAGGCCCTGGAAGGTGAGGCTGTGCCTGAGCTCAGGGTGAAAACCAGGAGGTGGAGAGGGAAGGAGAGAATGCTGAGGACTGCTGCCTTTTCCCTGAGGCAGGTTTTGGGCCTCCTTCCCCTCTTACCAATCTGTTTGCACAGGGTATAACCCAGATGCCTGGCTCCATTTAACAGTAGCTTAAGAACAGTGTCTCGGGTCGCTGGGTCACCCCTGGAAAGTTGTAGCAGAACATTGGCTGCATCTTCCAGGCCTTCTTCTGAACACGAGTGCGAGGTCAGCACCTAGGGGAAGAGGGAGTGAGTGTAACTGGGGCAGCTTCAAGTCACATTCTGTTCACTCTTGTCCCCCTCCCCAGCCCACTCCTCACCTCCACAGAGAGCTGGAGCTGATTTTCGGTTAGGCCCGATGCTGCCATCTCGCTCTCTATACTGCTCCCACTGCCTCCCTCGCCAGCCTTCGCTGGGGATTTGCTGCTCCTAGCAGTAGCTTCAAAGGAATAACAATGAGAGGAGTGAGTGCCAGGCAAACAAGACAACTAGAGGCCAGCTCAGTGAGACAGGGATGGGTGTTGCCCACTGGCAATGGAGGGCCTCAGCTTCCGCTGTTGTCTAATGGGTGGCCAGGCCTTGATGGCTTCTAAGGAGAACAGTAGCCTGACTCTAGGAAGAGAATTCTCCCTCAGGGCTGAGAACCAGGTCTTGACATCGTGAGCTCCCACTAGTTGCCCTGATACCCGCTCCACAGCACCAGGACCTGTCCCTCAGCCTAGCAGAAGCCTCACAGTGCCATCCCTTCTACTCTCACAGACCTCTACCAGCTCCTCTTGCCCAAATACACACCATGCTTTCCGCTGCCACTGGCTCGCAACTGATTGACTACTAGAGCCTCAGCTGTGACTGAAATGGCTCCCGTGGAAGGTCCAGTAGACAACCTTGGAGAACCCCGCCACTACAACTCACTTGCAACAACAGTAGCTGGGGTGGCTGCCACGGCAGCAGTGACTGAGGCTCCAGCTGGGGTGGGGCTGGGGGTAAGGGGGCCTGGGGTGGCAACTCCAGTATTGGTGGAGGTGCCACTTGCTGAGGAGGCAATGGTAGCGGAAGGAGTGCCGGTGCCGCTGCCCGGGTTGGCCACAGTCTCTGGTGCTTTGTTCTCGGGCAGTGCAATGGAGATGAGGGACAAGAGGCGCAGGAGTTTCTCGGTGAGGAGGGAGCTCCGGCGGATGACCGGATGAGACAGTGTGTTCATGAGCTGCCCTAGGGGAGAGGCTTCAAGGCTGTACAGAGAGGGCTCTCCCTCACTGCCCACATTGACGGGCACTGACTTGACAGAGTTTTTGCCTTTTCGGCTGACGTTCACGTTGTCCAGTTTGACCAACGAGTCCCTGAAGTCAGTGGAAATACTGCCGCTGGTGGACTGGCTGGGACAGGGGCTACAGGCCTGTCTGTTGCTCCTCTCCCGATCGCTGTCACAATTCGTCTCTTTGGTCCGCTGCCGTGTGAAGTGACTGGGGAAGACCTGTGGGGAAGCGGGGATAGGTGGGTGGCGGCACCCGAAGACAGAACCATGCCTGCTTTGGCTCAGACGGGAGGCTGCGAATGGGCCACACTGCCAGGCTGTTGAGAAGGGGACTAGGCCTATGAAACACATCAACAACCCCCTGCCCCCACACCTAGCTCAGCTCCCAGCCATATCAGATGATCAGTGACACACGATCGCAGAGACCCGTTCCTAGGGTGGTCCTTGGCCACTAACCCTGAGATCTGTGTCAAGTGAGGAGGTCAGGCTCTATGACTCATAAGGCTCTCCTTGTAACCCATTTCTTAGTGCTCCATCCCTGCCCCACTTCATCCTCGGGCTCCTAGTATGCTTCGGTCACTGCCCTGCTCTAGGTGCAAGGGCCCCATACTAGGCCAGTGCTCACCTTGGCTAACTGGATGAGTGTATCCGGGACATGTCGACACACCACAGGAGCAGCCTGGGGGTGAATGTGGACAGTGGAGCCACAGCCAGCATGCTTCTCAGTTTGTTTGCGGCCTGTCACCAGCTGGATCTGGAATATGTTAGTGCGGCAGCCCAGGGCCGCATCCATGGACACAGAGAGCCATGAGAGCTGGCTGGAGCTCTTGGACTCCATCTTGTGCAGCAGGTCCAGGGGCCGGCTATCACGGCTGCCAGTGGGGCAGCCCTTGGCTGCCTTCTTGCCCTTTTCCTCGGTGGTAGCTGCCTTGGGGTTCTCGATGCACAGTTCGCTCTCGCTGCTCCATTGCAGAATGGACGGCAGGCTGCAGATAACCCGATGGCGGGTCTGGCCGTGGTAGCACAGGTTGCGCAGGACACGGTGGAGGCGACTCGTATTCAGTTTGGGCTCATCCACAAAGAGAAGGACTAAGAGACATGACAAGGCTTCGTGGTCCAGGAGAGGGCGGCCCTGGAGGCGCAGGAGGCTGTCTACATTACTGCCCGAGGGCCTGCAAGACAGAGCCCCATCAGCTGTTACTCCTGGTCTGCCTTGCAACAAAGGAAGCATGGCAGACTGGCCAGCTCATACAAACTGGGCACAGAGTCTGGGAGGTGAAAGAGGAGGGGCTAAACTTCCTGCAAATAGGCCCAAGCTCAGCACCAATGGAGCTAACCTAGAAAGCTTCCTGGGGCCTAAAAGGTCATCTCTCCCACGCACACCCCATGATCTGTTACGGGGAAGCCACTGGCCAGGGCTTGCTACCATTCCAACGGCCAAGCATGAGGTCGTTATTGAAGCCCGTGGCCTCCACAGACACTACCTAACTCAAAACGCCCATGGTGTACCAAGTGGTTCCAAGGGCTCGGTGGGAGTCAGGAAACCTCAACTTGTCTCATGCTGCTCTTTCCCCTTTCTGGGCCTCAGGTCCAGTAAAATGGGGCTGGGGTGGAGCTTTCTTCTACCTGTCTCAACCTGGGCTTTAGTTAATCTTTCTAGAAAAAAGAGAAAGGAAGAGAGGATTCATGGACAGCCCCCTCCCAGTTCCACGTGTATAGGAGACACATGGCTTCTATCTCACAAACACCATCTTTAACCACTGAGGAAACAGAGCCCCAAAAAGGAGCCTCTCTCTGTATTTTAAAAACTGCCATTGGCAATGGATTAGAGAGGCTCCTGTCTATGGGACACCTGCTGGGGGTGGGGGTAGGGTGGTGCCACTCACTGCCCCTTGAGGGAGGCTGTCCCATCCTATTCTTCTGCTGTCGATCTGAATAGGTACAGTGAATTTTCAGCAAATGCTCAGTTGGGTCTTCACTCCAACAAGAGATCAATTTAGGATCCCAGGGTTTAGGGTGAGGAGGGTCCTTAGGCATCATTTAGTATGAGACTAATTCCATTTCCCAGCCACATTCTGGGTGTTGTTCAGGCCAACATGAGGCCTGGGAGGGGAGTCCATGGCCCGATGTCCCTTTATCATAGCTGACCTGGCCTTGTTTGGGACATAAGACCTTAGGCCAGATGCCTTTTCTCTCTGGAAATCTGGTGTAACCCCAAGCAATGATCACGTGCCATGGTTGTGGCCCTCTGCTTCTGCTCTGCTAGCCCCCCAGCCAGATAAGGTTGGTCAGGGCCTCATTCTCGCCTCCTCCACTACTCCTTGCAGAGCTTAGCATGGCCCACCAGGTTTCAGATACTAACAGACGACATGAACAAACTCCAAGGTGCTGTCCTCACAGGGAGCTGGGCCAAGTGCTTCCCATGCCAGAACTGGAAGGGTCCAGAGGGGAAGAGACTTGTCCGTTAACAGCTGGAGGCACATGGTTGTTTTGGAAAGTCCCGCACTAGAAGTGAGCTGCGGATCCAAGCTGCAAACCCGTCCCTCTATGACCTAGGCAAGTCCCTTTCCCATTCTGAGAAAGCTACCATGAGCAGTTGAAGGTTGGTTAGCTGTCCCAGGCCCAAACGAGTGGGAGAGAGGCTATGCTGTTGGTTGTTGTGCCCAGAGGCAAGCTGGCATTCAGAAAATGGGGCTTGGCACATACCTGGTGTGGCTACTGCTCCCACTCATCTGGAAAGTGCCCACAAGATTCAAAGGCAGAAGGTGTGAGCTGAGAAGGTGGTTTATTCCCTCTGATGCCAGTACCATGATCCTTTAGCCCAAGGGGAGGGGGTCATGTGAGTAAAGAAGAGGAGTCAGGTTAGTCAAAGGGGACTGGTGAGGGGCATGTGCAGGGGAAGGTACCTTTGTCGAGATCCTTTTCAGGCGCCTCTCCTATCTGGGCATAGCGCAGAGTTGGAAGGGCTGAGGGCTCAAGATTACTGAGACATTGGCCTTGTCACTGGGCAGGGAGTTCCCTGGGGGTACGACAAAGCTGGAGTCTTGCAGCAGGTTAGTGAAAAAGAGGAACAGTTCCATCTTGGCTAGTGGCTCCCCCAGGCACACCCGGCGGCCTGCGTGAGAGAGGCAAGCATGAGCATTAGGGGAATGCAAGGCCAGGAAAACCCCAATGCCGTCTCTCCTAGGCAGATGGGGAGATGTTCCAAATGCTCTGATTCCCATCTGATTAACTCTCACACACTTAGGTCTAGAAGGGGCCTTAGAAGCCATCACGTCCAAATACCTTCATTTTACAGATGAGGAAACCGAGGCACAGAGAAGTGATGTCACTTGCCCAAGGTCATGCTGTTAGTGTCAGTGCCAAGATTCAAAGTCGTAAGATGATAGGTTTGAAGGTAGAAGGGACTTTAGAAGCCAACAAGTCCAACTTTCTAATTTTACAGTTGAGGAAACTGAGCCACAGGTAACTTGTCTAAGGTCACACAGGTAATAAGTGGAAGAACTAGAATTCCAAGTCACATGAGCTCTTCTTTTCGAATCCTCTTATTTTATAAATAAGGCAACTGAGGCCCAGATAACTTCTGTGATTTGCCCAAGGTCACACAGACAGTAAATGACTGATCAAGGATTTGAACCCAGGTCCTCTGATGCTGAATCCAGCGGTCTTTCCATTACACCCATTGCTTCAACACTCTTTCCTGTCCCAGGCCCACTTGCTCTGCACTACAAAGGGGACCTCATTTTATACAACAAAACCAAAACATTGTCGAGAAATTTAGTTTTCATGAACTGAACCCTATTTAAAATAGATGGAATGGGGAGGTAGGGAAGCTGGTTATGGAGGCCAGAGTTTTCCAACAGCCTTGTCCTTAGCAAACTTTAAATGGTCCAAGAACCTTCCTCTCAAAGGTCTTATTCTTTTTTGTTGTTGTTGTTTTTCTTGGGCTGGGCAATGGGGTTAAGTGACTCGCCCAGGGTCACACAGCTAGTAAGTGTTAAGTGTCTGAGGCCGGATTTGAACTCGGGTCCTCCTGACTCCGGGGCCGGGGCTCTACACACTGTGCCACCTCACTGCCCCTCAAAGGTCTTATTCTTTAAACCCTATAAGCCTAAAGAGCACATTCCCTCCAATCTCTTCCTCCGCCCTCCCTTTCCTCCTCGGAAGCCCGGAATGTTGGTCCTGTTCAGGAATGCCCTGGACAACATGCCTGGAGTCCTTCTCCTTCTCACCCCAGCTCCCTCTTCTCCTCCCTGGCTCTCTCTCCCTCTCCTTGAGCCTCCAGGCACTAGCTGCGGAGGGCAAGGGCATCCCTGCAGGTGATGAAGGCAGCCTCCAAAGACTGACAATGGAACCTTAGGAATCGGGCTCACAGACTAGAAAGCCTGGGACCCTTATCCTGTGGCTTAGAGATTCCTTTGAGAAACACACGGGAATGCGGAACAATGGAAGGCATACTGGCTTTGGAGTCAGAGGCCCTGAGTTCAAATCCTGCCTCTTCCACTCCCTCCTTGTGTAAGTCGCTTGACCGCTCTGTGCCTCGGTTTCCTCCTCTGTAAAACGAGGGGTTCAGGCTCAATGACTCTGAGGGCCCTCCCAGCTCTAGAACAAGGCTCCGTTCCACCCATTCAGACGCTTCCTACTTCTTCAAGTCCTCCCTTCTCCACAGCTTCATCTGAGGCCCCCCACCATGAAACCCCAGCACCCCTTTGTTGTAGCAGAGCCCTAACCAGGGTGGGCCAGCTGGGGCTTAGGCGCTCTAGAACCAGGGCACACTTTTCCTCCCATCACCCTGGAGACCGCTATCCCCTGGCCCATGCCCCTTCAGGGGCTCTGGGGGAAGGAGGGCCGTAGGAGAGGGCGTGGGAGCAGACTTTAGGGCCAGAGGGGAGGGGACAGATCGCCCCACTTCTGGTCCCGCTGCACCCACCCTTGCATCGTCTCTCCCGGGGCTCGCTGACCCTTGACCCCTCAGCTGAATTTGCCCCCGGGGCCAGGATGTCTAGTGATGGCTCTGGTTTCACTTCTGGATGTCCCGGCTCCCCCAGCTAATGGCCAGGGCTGCTTCCTGGACTTCACTGATGGTCAAAGTCAAGGAGGAAAGGTGAGTACCAATCTTTGGTGCAGAGCGCCCTCTGCTGGGTCAGCTCCTACGTCCTGTTTCTATAGCACTGTCCTCACAACCCAGTGTGGTCAGGTAGTGCACAAATGATCATCTCCATTGTACAGATGAGAAAACTGAGGCTCAGAGCTGTTAACAGGCGCTCATCCCAGGTCTGGCAGCTAGCAAGGGCAAAGTGCTGGAAGTTGAATGCAAAGCTTCTGCCTCCGTCGGCTGTGCCATGGGAGCTCATCCTGGGGGCTCTGATCCCCAAAGGTG